AGGGTTCTATTCTTGAGTCTTTCTCCACTCTCCCTGTTTATTCTTGTTGGATAATTGCATATGTTCTCACAGATTTAAGTGTGCTCTCATGACTCCCAAATCTATATTATAGTCCCAGTCTCTCTGTTAAACCCAAACTTATATCCAGTTACCATCTAGTTATCCATGAAATGATATCCCAAAGGACCTCAGATTTAGTGTGTCTGAAATATTTATTTGTCTTCTCTCCATATTATATTATCTGCCTTGTTTAATGAAGTTGCTATCTACTTACATCAACTTGAAGATCATATAATCATTTTCAAACCTTCCTGTTCCTCTTTCAGTTATTCATCAGATTCTTTTGCTTCTAATGCCCCATTCCTATTTCCCCAGTTTTTCAGTCTTTTATCCTTTTATGCTTGTATTACCACAGTATTCTCCTAGTCGCTTTCATCTCCACCTATCTCTTCTGCTTTTAATTTATCATCTTTATCATTGACAGACTACTAAAATAAAAACCAGTCATGCCACTCTCCCTACCGCAGAAATTCCTATGGTTCCAAATTATCAGAAGATAAATTCTTCTCCTGGTATGTTATACCTTTAACATTCCCTACCTCATCATCACAGCTTTGACTCCTTCTCCTTCGTCTCCTTCTCACCTTTCCCAGTCCAGAACATTCTACTCTCATTCTCTGAATTCTCCTTGCTTTTCACCTCTAGATTGCCTTGCCCCACTTCTGTCTTATTCCTTCATAATTCTGTTCTTCAAGGTTCAGCTCAAATTTCATCTTCTCTGTAAAGCCCCAACAGCCCTTTCTCTATTTATGTAGTACCTACTTACAACACTTGATATCCTATATTTACTTTTTCTACCTACCAGCCTCTGAACTCTCAGAGACAGGAAGTATTTTCTTTTTCTGCTTTCTTGCAGAAGAGGAGGCAGATTTAGAAATAAATAATTATCGTATAACAGCTAAATACATAATTTCTGTAATAGCACAAAGGAGGTCATATAACATTGCCTCAGGGCACTGGGGAAGGCAGCACAAAGTAAGGGACATTTTGAGGCAGTCTTAATGTAAGAACGTTCACATTCCAACTGGAGAATAGAGCAGGTGCAGAGGTTCCATAGGGTAGAGTGAACCTGGCTTATTTGGGAAATGGCTGGTAGCACACTGTGGCATAAGCCCAGCTATGTGCATGTAGAGAAACAGGCTGGACAAAGTTGTGATTGGAAACAGATTGGGAAGAGCCCTTGTTTGTTGTACTAGATAATTTGGAACATTATTTACTTATTTATTGACTATAAATGTCCTGGGCAGCATAGACATGGGCATAGTAATGTCACACTAGTTAAACAGATATTAATTGTATTTAATATCAGTTTGTTAAAATTCCCTAAGGAAATTCTGTTTTCATTTTCATAGCTGTGCTTAATTTTGATGAATTATTTCTTTATCAAGTGAAGAAAGATTGATTGGTCGACTGATTGGTTTTTAGAGACAGGGTCCCATTCTGTTACCCGGGCTGCGGTGCTGTGGCGTAATCATAGATTACTGTAGCCTCAAGCTTCTGGGCTCAAGCGATCTTCCTGCCTCAGCCTCTCAAGTAGCTGGGACTGCAAGCATGTGGCACCACGCCCAGCTATTTTTTTTTTTTTTAACTTTTATTTTTGTAGAGATAGGGTCTTGCTATGCTGTCTAGGCTGGTCTTGAACTCCTGGCTTCAAGTGGTCCTCCTGTCTTGATCTCCCAAAGTGCTGGGATTACAGTTGTGAGCCATGACATCTGGCCTAAGGGACTTAGTTAAAACAACATTTTACTACACATACCAAAAGCATTTTCTTTAAATGGTATATCCTCTCTTATCAGAGTTTGTCAGCACTCTTTAGTACCAGTGGGCAGTCCATTTTAGAAGTAGTTTGGTTTTCAGAAGCCCCAGTTTTGCTGCCATAGTTTTCAGTGAATTTTGAGGGTGGAGTAGTGTTTCTCCAAAAATATGTCCCTTAGGTTTAGAATAATAACCATTTAGATTTTGAAAATTTACCTAAAAATGAATGTTTCTTATAATAATGTAACTGTCCTTTCCTCGTTAAATTCTCATGCCTTATAATGTGTTATTTTTAATGGATTTAATCCTAAATGATGTTTTACACCTGACTCATTTTTGTTAATTCAGATCTATCCAGAAAACTAAAGTTTGCAGTAGTGTTGAATAATTTTCTTTTGCTTCTGCTTTTGCTTCAACTCTGTTGTGGCATAACACAACAGGCCTCTATCTCCTCTTCCCTCTGCTCCCCGCCACCCCCATATCAGTGCTTCTCAGGAAATGTGAAGTGTTTTTACTTTAAAGATCACTGTAAAATGTTATACTTTTAATTGATTATGCCTGACTTTGTGTGTATATGTGAAAATACTTCTCTTATGTAACTGCCTTCTTTTAACATATAACTGCTACAACTGGTCTACTACCCTTGTTCAACTATTAGTAGCAAAGAATTTAATTACTGTAATTTTTTGACATTGATTGGCCCCTCTGTTATATATTTTCTCCTCCACATTTTTTTTTTTTTTTTTTGAGACGGAGTCTCGCCCTTTCACCCAGGCTGGAGGCATGGTTTTGGCTCACCGCAACCTCCGCCTCCCGGGTTCAAGCGATTGTCCTGTCTCAACCTCCCGAGTAGCTGGGATTACAGGTGCCCACCACCACCATGCCCAACTAATTTTTATATTTTTAGTAGAGATGGGATTTCACCATTTTGGCCAGGCTGGTCTCTTAACTCCTGACTTCAAGCAGTATGCCTGCCTCAGCCTCCCAAAGTGCTGAGATTACAGGAGTGAACCACTGCTTCTGGCCTCCTCTACATTTTTAAACTGATGATTAAGCTATATGATGGACATGTTATGAAAGTAGAGGGTAGTTTTGCTCATGCCTAAATCATAAAATTAAGTAAAGGACCAGTGGAAGTATATCCTTTGATTATCATTCCTCGTGAATTGTTTTTGCACTTGGATGAATGTTATGTTGACATTCTGAGTCCTGATACTAGAATTTGGACTTTTAGGAAGTGTGGAAGTGTTATTCTGCATTATTTTATGGAACTTCAGAGTGTTGAATAAAAGATAAGATTCCTGCCTCATTTATAGTGGAAAAGCTGCACAACATTCCTTGCGTTGTGCAACTTTTCCACTGCATTAAAATGGAAGCCTGCATCCCTCTCTCCCACCCCAGTATCTTGACTCCCCTTAGAAACCTCAGTTGGTATATTCTTTGGTTGAGGTAGAAGAATACATTCTTGCCAACTTTATTTCCCTAATAAAGGCATACAAGTTTTGCTTATGGGTGATGCTGAAAAGTAATAGACTATCCCGTGGTATTGTAGAATTAAAGTGTATAGTGCCAGGTCCAAACACTTAGTGACCATATGTAATTAGTGGAGGCAGCTCATTTTTCGTTAACAAACACATGATCAAATACTTGGTCACGCAAAACTCAGATGCCCATATGTAACAACAACAACAAAAGTACTTCAGATTACTGCACTGGGAAAGGGTTTAACATCATGACCTAAGATTTACTTTTAAGGTTTTATGACCACATGACTAAAATGTCTATTTTCTGTGTAGGTCATTCCTGTCAATAGGGAGACTAACATTGAGAGCTTTCAAATGTCAGTAACAGAAATAAAAGAGAGAGAAGTGAAACTATTAAGGTCCAGACACTTCACATATTAACTCATTTAATTCTTACAAATCTGTTATGTGTTGTAATCATTATCCCTCATTTTACAAAAAAGAAAACTGAGGCTCAGAAAGGTTATGTGACTTGTCCTCCCAACATGTTAAATATACTATTTTTTTCTTTAAAATGCTTTTGCCTGGTTCTTTATTTTTTTAATGTTTTGACCCATCTGGAACTGATTACATTATTAAGCATCACGCAAAAACCATTCTTTCCCATAGTGCTGTTCAGTTATACAAACAACATTTACCAAAGAGTGAGACTTTGTAATGAAGATTGCTTAGGATTATCTGAATGTTCTTCCAGTTCCTGCCATGTGGCAGGCTATAGTCTGAATAGATGCTTTCCCATTTCAGTACTGCTTAGTATACCTTCACACTGCCATGCACTTGCTTAGATAATACTTAAATATCCTCTTAAAAGCAAAAGCTCGGCCAGGCGTGGTGGCTCACACCTGTAATCCCAGCACTTTGGGACTCTGATGCAGGAGCAATTGCTTGAGGTCTGGAGTTCAAGACCAGCCTGGGCAGTATGGTGAAACCCTGTCTCTACACAAAAAGATAAAATTTAGCCAGGCGTGGTAGTGTGAGCCTGTAGTCCCTGCTACTCTAGAGGCCGAGGCAGGCTTGAGTCCAGGAAGTGGAGGTTGCATTGAGCCAACATTGCACCATTGCACTCCAGCCTGGCCAACAGAGCAAGACCCTTTAAAAAAAAAAAAAAAAACAACAAAAAATGCAAAAGCTCATATGTGTCCTTTACTGCTAGCTTTCCCTGGAAAGAAGACCCATGAAAATCCAATACATTTTTATAATTAAAAATGTATATAGCTTGTATTTGTGATTATGAGGTATCTATTTTATATTAAATCTCACATTTTATTATTTAGCTGTTACCTTGTAAAATACTTATAGTAACAAATGTAGGTTTTTGATGTCTGTGAGATAAAGATAAATGCAATAGTAAGGAGAAGTAATGCAAAATAAAATTTCATGTCCTTATGAGGGGAAAAGCTCATGGATTGAAATCACTTGCAGCCAATCTGTGGTAATTTTCTTGCCCCTGGACCCGCCAGACTTAGAAGGTAAAAAGAGCTACATATGAAATGAAAACAGCTTTTCTCCCAGTTCTCATCTAATCTTGTAGAGGGTGTTAAATGTACACAAGATGTGTTAGGGGACATTAAATATTAAAGCATATATTTTATTATTTCATAAAAAAGGAAACTGTTCATAATGTGGTCCAAAAAACTAACCATTGTTTGTTTGTTTCTTTAGGATGGATTGGATGCTTTGGTATATGATTTGGATTTTCCTGCCTTAAGAAAAAACAAAAATATTGACAACTTTTTAAGCAGATGTAAGTAATTTTTTGTGTAGGTTAATGACAGACTTCATATAACTACATTTTGACTTAGATCATTCAAGCCCTTATTTTTTCTTCTATTTACTTTTTGGTGATTTCATCAATGATTTCTACATAGAGTTTAGTAGGAAGTGTGTAAGAAGCAGTTTGGATGCCTGTTAGGAGAACCAAAGTACTTTGAAGAGAAAGGGATGAAAAATAGCTAAAATAAGTATTCAGAAAACTGTGCATTGAGTTTGAATAACCACACATTGAGTTTGAGTGACTGCTGAGATATGAGAATTTTTCTCCATGAAAGCTGTTTTATATTTAAATTTTACAGATATTCTTTTCTGAAGGCTCCTTTTTAGATTGGATATTATAATTTAAAAATTTGGTTAACTTACAACTTCAAACTTTTAATCTTAAAGAATTAATAAGATTTAGATCATAAAGTCCTCCTTCATTTATTTCTGTTTCTGAACTATAAATATTGATACGTGTAAGTTTGATTGGTTTTGGTGTTGTCTTTCAATTTTGGTTACATGTGTTTTGTTACAAAGATTTTATTTTTCTAAATAGTCATATCTTTTTGATTTTTAAAATCATTTCTATACTTTGAAATCTTGTATTAGAATTTTTAAATTTTGTTCTTTTTGTTTTTCAATTTTTAAAAATTTATTTAGTTTTATTTGAGTTTTTGAATATGGTTCCATATTCTGAACTGAGAAGTTTTTAAGTATAAAAGTTTTAATTATTTATCATGTCCTATGGACATAGCAGTAAAATTTTATTAATGTTTACAATTGCTTACCTCCCTACCTGACAACATAGTGAAGGAACTAAAAAGATGGAGAGGCTTGACTGTATCTTCATGGTAACTGGTGTTTACAGAGATGGTGTAGATAAGGGGTAAATACTCCTTAGTACAAAGGCAGAGGGTGGGGCATGTTTTTTTTAAAAGTAATGGCTAGCAAGAATGAAATACGTGCTTCCTTAAACTTAGCTACTTTGTTGCTTTCATAATGTTAAGTGTGCTTGTGCATTATATTTTATAAATAGAGACATTAATGCTTTAGTAGAAATAAGTAAAATAAAAGTATAAATCTAAAGCAAACTGTTTTAACTGGTAAACCTGTACAATTTATTTTAATTTTTAAATTGGAGAAAAATGCAGAGAATAATATAACAAAATTTTAGGGAAGTCAAATGTAGCAGGTAAAAATCATGACCAAGGATAGTTTATGCCAGCATTACTAAGTTAGTATAAAATTCAAAAATCAATTAGTTTAATTTACCATATTAACGTACTTTAAAAAGGAAATTTAGTAGATGCAGAAAAAGCATTTGATAAAATTTAATATCCATTCACAATTTTAAAATATCTGTCTGCAAACTAGGAAGTGAAGGAAGCTTCCTTTCCCCAATAAAGGGAATCTACAAGAAACCTACAGTTCAGATTTTATCTACTTGTTTAAGACAAATGCTTTTCCCCTAAGATAGGAAAAGGCAAATCTGTCCTCTCTTACCATTTTTATTTAACATCGTCTTAGAAGTTCTAGACAGTGCCATCAGGTAAAATAAAGAAAAGCCATACAGATTGAGAAGGAAGAAGTAAAACTTTCTCAATTTAGACAGCATGATTTTCCATATCGAAAATCCTCAAGATTCTGCAGAAAAGCTACATGAACTAGTAAGTTTATTAAGCAAGGTTGAAAATTAGAAGATTAATATCCAAAAAGCAGTTGCACATACATTTATTAACAGCAAGCAATTGGAAATTGATTTATTATAACAAATACAGTGCCATTTACAATAGAAGCAAAAACATGAAAAATTTAGGAGTAAATCTGACAAAATATGTGTAAACCTGTATACTGAAGACTATACAGCATTGTAGACAGAAATTAAAGAAGACCTAACAAGATATTCAGTGTTCATGGATTGGACAATTCAGTATTAAAATGTTAACAGTCCCCAGATTAATTGATCTATAGAGCCCATATATTCTCAGAACCTTAGCAGACAGTTTTTTGTATAAAGTGACCAGCAATTCTTTAATTCATAGGGAAATGCAAAGGAAAATAGATAAACTGGGCATCATCAAAATTAAAAACTTTTATTTGTGCTTCAAAGATACTATGAAGAGTGAAGGCCAGGCACGGTGGCTTTCGCCTGTAATCCCAGCACTTTGGGAGGCTTAAAAATGCATTTAAGATTCCTGCATGTTGTCCATGTTGTGTGAAGTAGTAACTTGTTCCTTTTTTCCACTAAATTGCAGAGCAACCTTCTATTGAATGGATGTACCTTGGTTTGTTTGTTCATTCCTCTGTTGAAGAACGTATTTGTTATTTCCTGTTTGGGGCAATTATGAATAAAGCTGCAATAAATATTCGAGTACAAGGTTTTGCATGAATTTAGGTTTTTTTGTTTTGTTTTGTTTTGTTTTTTGAGATGGAGTTTCACTGTTGTCACCAGGCTGGAGTGCAATGGCACGATCTTGGCTCACTGCAACCTCCACCTCCCAGGTTCAAGCGGTTCACCTGCCTCAGCCTCCCGAGAAGCTGGGATTACAGGCATGCACCACCATGTCTGGCTAATTTTGTATATTTAGTAGAGACGGGGTTTCTCCATGTTGGTCAGGCTGATCTCAAACTCTCGACCTCAGGTGGTCTGCCTGCCTCCGCCTCCCAAAGTTCTGGGATTACAGGCATGAGCCACAGCGCCTGGCCATGAATTTAGTTTTAAATTGACTTGGGCAGATACGTAAATACACAGAAGTAGGATTGCTAGGTTGTTTGCTAAGAATAGGTTTAACTTCTTAAGAAACTGCCAAACTGTCTTCCAAAGTGGCTATACCATTTTATTATACATTCCCACCAACAATGAATGAGAGTTTCTGTTGTTCTGCATCCTTGTTGCATTTGCTAGTGTCAATTTTCGTTTGCATAATGTCTTTCATAGAGCAAAAATTTTAATTTTGATGAAATCTAACTTATAAACTATTTCTGCATTGGTTGTGCTTTTTGTGTCATGTAAAAATCATTGCCAAACTCAAGATTGAATTTTTAAAGCAACTTTATTAAGCTATCATTTACATACTATAAAATTCACCCATTTAAAGTGTACAATTCAGTGAGCTTTTTGAGTGTATATATATTTATAGAGTTGTGCAACCATTACCACAGTTACTTTTACAACATTTTCATCACTTCATAAAGTAACCTCATACCCATTAACAGTCAGTCTCCATTTGTCTCCAGGCTTCCAGCCCTAGGCAACCACTAATCTAATTTCTGTCTGTATAGATTTGCCAACACCCATTAACTTTAAGTCACTCTCCTTTTCTCCCTAGGCTTCTAGCCTTAGGCAACCACTAATCTATTTCTGTCCCTGTAGATTTGCCAACTCTAGAGACATTTCCTATAGATGGAATCATCAATAAAATGGTCCTTTGTGATTGCCTTCTTTGGCTTAGCATGTTTTCATTGTTCATCAGTGTTGTAGCATGTGTCAGTATTTCATTCTTTTTAATTGCCAGTGGTATTCCATTGTATACACATTTTGTACCACATTTTGTTTATCTGCTCATCAGCTGATGGACATTTGTATTGATTCTATTTTGGCTTTTATGAATAATGCTGCTATGGACTTTTGTGTAGACATATGTTTTTATTGTTCTTGCGTAGATACCTAGAAGTGGAATTGGTGGGTCATATGGTAATTCTATGTTTAACATTTTGAGAAACTCAAGATTGATTTTTAAATGTATACTTTTATTACTTTGGAGTAAATATATGTGACTTTTCTGTTGTTCCTGAATAGATAAATGCAGTATGTGTTTATCTCCATTTGCATATAATGTCAGTAAGTGTTTTTAATATTTCAGTAGCATCAAGTACAAGTATAGTCTGTATCCTTAAGGATTGTGGGGACATACAATGTAACAGAAGAAACAGACCTATATAAACAATCCCAGTTCAGATTGTTAGGTGAAATATAGGGAAATAATGTTGTCCCAGAGAAGGGAGTCATACTTGGTGCTCAAGAGGGAATCAGGAATGTCTAAAGAGGAGATAAAAGATTAGATCTTGTTTAATAATAACTTGGTCAGATAAGGTGGTGGGGGAAGTCATTTTAGGTTAGTGATAACATCTGCAAAGGCACAGAGATGAAGCAGTATGGCTTATACAGGTAATTGCAAATAACTAGGCATTGCTAGAGCATAGTTGTGGGGAGTAGCTTATGTAGAAATGTAAGACTGGACAGTCACTAACAAGATCAATTTTTTTTTTTTTTGCCATGTTGTTGAGGAGTTTGAATTTAGGAGTCTGGATTTTTAATTTATATTTATTTTTTGTTGGTCTGTTTATCAAACTGGATCACTCTGCGTGTATGTGGGTGGGTGGATGCGTGCATATGTGCCTGTGCAGTCAAAATGTAGCACATCTTCCTAGAGCATGATTTTATTTGAACATTTGGACATTAAGTAATTTTCTTAATTAAAACCATGCTAGGTGCAGTGGCTCACATCTGTAATGCCAGCACTTTCGGAGGCTGAGGCGGGTAGATCACTTGAGCCCAGGAGTTCGAGATTGGCCTGGGCAACATGGCGAAACCCTGTCTCTACAAAAATACAAAAATTAGTTGTGCATGGTATTGTGTGCCTGTAGTCCTGGCTACTTGCGAGGCTGCAGTGGGAGAATTGCTTGAACTCCGAGGTGGAGGTTGCAGTGAGCTGAGATTGCGTGACAGAGACCCTATCTCAAGAAAAAAGAAAAAAAAGTCAGATTTTTATGGAATTGAATATAACATTCTTGTTAATTTTTCAAGTAAGTTTAATTTGTGAGCTTTTTAGGGCTGCTTTCACTACTCTAAAAGTGTGCAATGTATACTGGGCTTTTTTAGGCAGAGTAGCAGTATTCTGGTCAAATAGTACATGGTACTTAATGTTTATTACCATATTTTACCTATTCTGACATTTTAAAAAATTTGAACATTTTTGAAATTAGAAT